CCACTGCTAGTGATTTATATTACTATGAACGACCAGTTGGTAGCATGAAAAGAACCAGAAAAGTCATTCAAATTTTAGGTTTGGAACTATAGCCGGCAAGTGCAATTAAATCTGCCGGCAACTCGAAAACTGATAAAATGAAGGAAATATTGCGTGCAAGAAAGTTGCGGGCAATAAAATTGCCGACTAAAACGGCCTTAATAAACCATTCCAGACCGTCACCTTGAAGCCGACAAACAAGCACTTTCTATCGAGGCCCCGCGAGAACAAGCACCTGCCGTTGGCAGGCAAAGGCGGCAAGCAGAAGAAAAGGAAGAAAATCAACCAGCCGCAGCCGCGAAGAAGCATCAAGCAAGTCCAAAAAATCATTTTCGACAGCGTGGATCGGGCGGTTATTCGAAAATTCGGCGGCATTCGATATAGGCCGCGCTGGACGCAAGAGGAGGACAAACTGCTGATTCTATTGAGGGTAACTACTCAGGCTGTAAGTCGAGCAACTTAAACTGAAAACCCCGGCTTCTAGATGGCCATTTTCTTCCTGACGCCCAGCCCGGTCAACAAGCTCATCGGCTATAGAGCTCTGAGGGATTTGCTGTATATAAAGTCGCCGAAAAGCCGCGACAAAACCAGCAGGTTGGAGCCGCACTTTACCGTTTTCAAAACACCAACATTTTGCCTTTGCAGCAACGTTTCCCACCGCTTCACGCTGCTCAAGAAGAGCGTGCCGTTCCTTGCAAACATTGAACTCATCATCCCCAACCTGTACAAGCTGGAGCCGATCGCCAAGTATTTTGTGCCGCTTAAGCACTTTCTAATGCATGGAGAGGACCCTTCAGGTAAACTCAGCAAACATTAGCCATTGAGTGTAAATAATAGCGAGCAAAAAAGAGAATGGGTACCTGATCACTGGTCCATCCAGGACTGGCTCAGCTCCCAAACCAGCTGAAACTTGAACAGCCTTCCACGGTTAAGCGCCACTCTGGAAAAAGGAGATATTTATAGGCTATCGCTGAACTTTTCAGGCTTGAACCGCAAGTCCAGAGTCTCCATCCAGGAGCTGCGGGTGGCCTTTGTGTTCCTCGGCTACTACATCCTAAACAACCAAAAAGACGTGGAAGTGGCCCTCCACGGGAAATTCACCAGCATCGACTACTTCAACAAGACCAACTACGACTTCTACACGCCGCGTCTGGTTGCTTGCGCGAAGAAACCCTTATATGTGCAACCCACCAGCGAGGAAGACATCAAGAAGTACACCCTCACGTCTACCATCCTGTGCTCGTTGAGCCACAGGAACGACACGCCTGGTAAGCGGTTTTCCATTCAGTCAGCCCTCTGGGCCCTTACGGTGGCTTTCCAGAGTGGTCCGTGCACAACTACAAAGTCTGGCAGCAGTTCACTCAACCCCTGCTGAAATCCACCCTGACCAACATGAAAGAGCATCGGATGGTGCAGTTTTTTAGAGAGCAGCGCAAGCTCTCTCTGGCTCCATACCGGCTGTCGCTGCACTTCATTTTCTCTCAAAGCGCCACCTTCACCCACCACACAATGGACGAGGCCTTTGCAGCCTTCATTCAACTGAAGAACAATTCTTCTGGCACAGGGGCGGAGAACGAGTGCGGCCACCTGTTCGGCTTCAACGAGGTGGGCTTGCTGATTTAACCGGGCAAATTTACTATTCTGGGGATCTTCAGGTGTTGTCCATCAGCGCAAGCACGGCGCGAATGGAGTTCAACTTTCCCGAGCACCACTTCGTTCTGAATCCCGATCTGGAGGACCATTCGGAGGTGATCGAGGAGCTGGCCAAGCGATACCAGGCGAAGCTCAAAGGTGAGCTCAAGGAGGCTGAAGCTCTCATTGAGTCGGGGTGAGCAGCACGAAAATCAATCATAGACCCGCATGGAAAACATGGAAATTCTAGCGCAAGGCCTGAAGACGATGACGAAGTCGACAGTGAAATGCCATCGGGGAGTTGTGAAGAACCTGCGCCGGTTCTTCACAACTCCGATGTTGAGGTGATATGCGTTGATGATGGGGAGCCCATGGATCTTTCCATCAATGCGACGATCAACAACCTGAAGCACTGGATTTCGGACTGCATTGATCTGGACCGCGTGCGGAGCCCCAGTCCGGAAATCTTCAACTTTTCAATCAAGCAGGAAGTTGAGCTGGCTGAAAATGCGCCCGAGCAGCCGGCCAACCCGGACTGCAAAGTCCCGAGCTTAGAGGAAATCAAACAAGGTACCAAAACCATCCCCAGACGGGAAAGAGATGCATTATTTTCATTTCAAAATTAATTCCTGGGTTTCAGTCATTTATTGTCTCTATTTATAAATTAAAATACGTTTCGGTGTATTTTTCCACCATCATCAGTTTTTACGTGTAGCGTTGTTGCTGCCTGTTAAGCCTTGGCATACATTTTCAAAATGTATTTTAATTGATAAGTAAAGACAATAAATGACTGAAACCCAGGAATTAATTTTGATTTGGAATTGAAACACAGTCAGGAAAGTATATACAATTATTTTCATTCCCAGAGATGCTGAAGCCGTTGGACTCGCAGGAAAAGCGTCTGGTGCCGCACGTTTGCGACTTAACCAAGCTGCTGTCGACCACGTTTGAAGAGATTGAAACTGACGATCGAGCCAGCTACCTGATGAAGAAATATTTCGTCCAGCAATACCCGACTTTGCAAAGTTTCAAGGTGGATGGCTTGGAGACACTGGCTGCCACCTTGGAGCGCACCTGTTCCATTGCGGAAAAACTAGAAAGGTACTGAAAGCGCTTTCACAGGGATTTTTCTAGGCAACGCCCCTTTTTCCTAGGGACTGGAAAGTTGGCGTGCCGACCAGCAAGGAGGAATTTGAGGACGTTTTACTGGCACAGGGAATAGTGGAAAATGTCGGTGTGGCTTGGGACTTGCTGCGCCACATTGAAGACGCCAATGTGCTGGGCGCAACTGGATTCGCTCTAAAAGTAACCTTTTGCGCCATCCAGACCAGCCAATAATGACAGTTTTTATAGGAGGCTTTCCCAGATGAACCGATTGCTCTAATCCTCATCGCTCTAACCGAGCACCATTACGTGGTGCGAACGGGCATATGCGAGGTGACTTTCGTGCACTTCAAGCACCAAGAGGCGTGGCTCACGAAGACTTGCAGCGACTTGCAAGAGGATGCGAAGACCTCCGACTGCAGCCCAATACAAGTCAGGTAATTCGAACAAAATCCCTATATTGAAAACGGTGAAACTTTGCCACTCCAAAGCGCTCCCAACTGGTTCAAAATCAAGGCTGCACCTTGGACTGCCATAGATGGAACTCTGGATGCCGCCATGTTGAAACTCTGGCTCTCCCAAGTCTTTTCCTACTGCATAGAGAACTCCAAAATCCCGCTTCGGCAGCTTTGCTGCAAATTCTGCTACTTGAAACCGGTCGATGTGTTTTACTTGCTGGAGGTAAGTGGAGGATACCGAAAATTTACCGAAAGAAACTGTTGCGGTTCAGGCCGTCGTGGAATATCATTTCTTCCTGACGCGCCTGAAATCCTATTCCTTGACGGCTTAAAAGCACCGAAAACACGCCAGTTTCCATGATGAAAATATTTCTATTCCAAATCAAAATTAATTCCTGGGTTTCAGTCATTTATTGTCTTGATTTATCAATTAAAATACGTTTTGGTGTATTTTTAAGCTTTAAGGCTTGGCATACATTTAGAAAATTGCTCTAAAAAATCAGTGAGCTCCCGGATTCCAGTGAAACTTTCCTTGTATAGAGCTGAAAGCCTTTAGAAACTGTACACAAAGTATCAACTGTCCACTAATTTTCGCTTAAGGTGGGCGATTTTTAAATTTTTTCTGTGTAAGTCTTCACGGTGCTTATCTCGCACGCTCATACTCAGATGGCCCTAAAAAATCAGTGAGCTCCCGGATTCAACTGCAATTTTGCTTATGTAGAGCTGAAATCCTTTAGAAACTGTACGCAAAGTATCAACTGCACTAATTTTCGCTTGAGGTCAGCGATTTTTTAAATTTTTCTGTGCACGTCTCAACGGTGCTTATCTCGCACGCTCATACTCAGATGGCTCTAAAAAATCAGTGAGCTCCCGGATTCAACTGCAATTTTGCTTATGTAGAGCTGAAAGCCGTTAGAAACTGTACACAAAGTATCAACTGTCCACTAATTTTCGTTTAAGGTGGGCGATTTTTTAATTTTTTCTGTGTAAGTCTCCACGGTGCTTATCTCGCACGCTCATACTCAGATGGCTCTAAAAAATCAGTGAGCTCCCGGATTCAACTGAAATTTTGCGTGTATAGAGCTGAAAGCCTTTAGAAACTGTACAAAAAGTATCAACTGTCCATTAATTTTCAATTAAGGTGGGCGATTTTTTATATTTTTCTGTATAAGTCTCCACGGTGCTTATCTCGCAAGCTCATACTCAGATTGCTCTAAAAAATCAGTAAGCTCCCGGATTCAACTGCAATTTTGCTTATGTAGAGCTGAAAGCCTTTAGAAACTGTACACAAAGTATCAACTGTACACAAAGTATCAAAAATACACCGAAACGTATTTTAATTGATAAAGAAGGTCAATACATGACTGAAACTCAGGAATTAATTTTGATTTGGAATTGAAACAGTCAGGAAAGTATATAGAATATTTATATTGGGAGACTTTTCGCAGCTGCTGGAGGAGATTGGAGCCCTGGAAATTCGCCGACTAGTGTATGCAACCGATTTATTCTCGGAAGACTTCGAGGAGATTGAAGACTGTGAGTAGCGAATAGGTTGAATTTGGTGGATTCGTGAATGGTTCAAATTGCAGGCAAAGGATCGTTCATGGACCGATTCGATGAAATGTACGTGGATTCGAAAAATGTTGGATTCATCACGGTGGGCTCGTGCTTTCAAAGCTTGAAGTAGTTGGAAGAAATCCCGTTATCCAGATGAAGAATCCCGATAGCAATTCGAAAATTCCTTCTTCCAGGGAATCAATCGAGAACAAAAGCTTCCCGCCCGTTTTGTACATACTTAATTGTTATTAAACTAGTACATGTGAAAATCCCGTTTCGACTTAGACTAAAACGTAATCCTTCGACTCACACACACACACACACACACAGCCATTATTCAGATTCACTTGCGAAAACTTCAGCAAAACCCCCGACAGCTAGCAGGTCTAAAGCTCATGCGCATGCATCCGTCTATACGATGATACGAAAGTGTTTCTATTGGTTGGAGATCTGTCGTGAGTATTGATCTCCAACCAATAGGAACACTTTCGTGCTTTACCGTCCCTTTCTTAATGAAGTCGAATGGAACTACTAGGAAAAAACTTTCTCAATTAGGATCACTTAGGAATTGAAATGGGATTTTAAGAGACGTTTAAAATACAAAAAAATGTAATACTAAAAAGCAGTCGCTTATACCGAACCGATGACTTTGGCTGAGCGAAGTTGCTGTATTTTTCACAAGAATTATGGGCTTCATTGGGAAGCGCACATAGCAGATCTGATTCCCTCTCTCTCTCAAAAAAAAGAAAAATAACTGAGAATGGTGTTATACCCACTACTGATCTATCAAGTAATTCGGATGCACCACCAGCAAAGGATCGTCCTCCTCTTCCTGCGCGCTGCCTTTAAGGCCGGATTTAGTCAGCGGAATGATGATTTGATCCTGCCAGAAACCCGATTTTGCACAAAACGTTCACCTGCCATTGAAACAACTTACGTGATAAATCAGCCTATCCAGGACCTTTTCCAGCATGTCCTTCTTCTCAATCAGCTCGTCCTCCGACTCGACGGTATTTTCGATGTGATCCAAGTACCATTGGAGCACGTCGCTTCTATGCGTCCCTTCGCGGCCCTGCTCCTCGAACTTGGCCTCCTGCTTCCTCATGTACATCACGATGAGGTTGCTCAGATGTTTGTATTCTTCAAAGCTAAGAACCATCTTCTTTTTGGCCAGCTGGGGGGTGGGCGTTTGCGCTCCATCCAGTTGCGACGTTTCGTCTTCCTGGAGCACCTCATCCTGGTCTCCGCCCAAATGGACATCTGGCTGTTCCACTCTGATGATGGACTTATTTAGCAGCCGGTACGCTTCTTTGACGTGCTTCGGTTGGACGTCGTCGCTGATGTCCATCCGGGCCATCGCCTCTGACAGGCGAATCATGCTCTCCAGTTGCCGCACTGTGATTCTCCACGTGGATTTTCCGGAGGACGCGTCGTCTCGCTGTCGTAGCCGATTGTAAAAACTGCAAGAAAACACTGTAGTTTCCGTTGAAAAATCACTCACACGCTACCGTACTTGACCAAGAGGGAGCCCGATTCGCTGCTTATCACTGGCTTGAATTTCCTGGCGAAACTAATATACTGCAGCACCTCTTGTTTGGAGTACACCTAATTTAAAAAATCGGCTGAATAGTGAAAATAGTAGTTTTCGATACAAGGGCGAAAAATGTCGTTTTTCGAACGACGACGGCGTTTGACCGTCAATCCGTCAGGAGTTCGAAAAACACATTTTCGCCCTCGTATCGAACACTATTTTTTATTCAAATGAAAGATTACACGAATAATAAAATGCATCGATTTCATATTTAAAATTTTGTGGCAATGTCATTTTTTGAAATGTCATGTTTTGAAGTTTGTAATTAAGGTTAAGTACTTTTTCAACTTGAAACACCTGTGGTCTTGGGATGGTGTATGCATCTTGCATACTCTGCATGACATTTGCGCTTCTTAAAAAGATCGTGTTTTACGTGTGACAACATCGCAAAAGTAGATAAGTAGGCAATTAAAACGATTATGAGACTGAACTTGTAACAAAGGTGTAATTTACAAATTGTAAGTAAACTTGAAAATAGGATCAATAGTTGTTGATAAACCTACGTGATTCCTTAAATTTCGGAAAGCATTTCGGTTATTTTTAAATAAAAATACTAAAAAATATATAATGACAGTGGCAAGTTCAAAGCGCCACATTTACTT